AAATATCCAACACTTAGATTGAGATAATTCACTAGTGTTGCTAGGATTTTCACATTGTGTGGCATTTCAATGCAGCCATAATTTTCCTGATAAACATGAATCCATCCATCCATTATCAGAAAGCTACTTGGTCTAATGAGTGCTGAGGCTGCAACAATCAATGACTACTTTAACTTAGAATTCATTAAAAAAACAGTGACAACAGACTTTTCCATTTCATTTTCAATTTTTGTTTGTAAAATATTACACTGACTGTTTTCAGGTTTAAAACAACAAAATAAATTTGAAATCACCTTCCAATGAATGAACTAACTGCCTTTTTCCCCCCGTGATCTTGGTCAGTGAAACAATTATGTTAAATAGGTAGAAAATCAGTTTATCAGCTTAGGAAACTAGACTGTTCGTCAGACTGACCCCTGGTGTTCAGCAGTGTCAGTGTCTCATGATCTTTTGAAGCACAGAAGTAATTTCAAATCTGACCAGTTCAAAAGGCACAGATCACATGTATTCAATTTTCTATTTGGAGAGCTCTTCTTGAAAGATTCAATTGTGATTTAATGTAAGCATCGTATTTGTATATTTTCCATGCCATTTCAGTTCTGGCCTACTTTGAGTGAGGAAAGTAAAGGTCTGCTACCTGACCCAAGCCAGATGGGGCCCGACAAAGTACCAGGTTTCAGTCCGGGTTTGTTTTCTAATAAGTAAAAAAATGAATTATTACAATTTTATGTTTTACATTTATTTTTATTTGAAGAAATTCGGAACTCATTTTGTGCGCGTGCTCGCTAGCTCGTATTGTAAAACCGCTTCTGTGAGAATCAGCCGCCATGTGTGCATGTGTGTCTACTCGGTCTGAGAGGAAAAGAGAGCAACCTATTTCAGGTTCGGGTCGGGTTCGAGTTTCAAATTTGGCAGTACCATTCGGGCTCGGTCGGGGTGGGTCTCAAGGTCTCGGGTACAGGCTGGGTTCGGGCTTCAATTTCATGCCCGTGCAGGCCTGGCAAGTGGCATAGCAGAAATAACTTAATTGTGTTACATTTAAAATTTCTACTTTAAACAAACTTATCTGTATAATTTAGCAGTTGTAAATCTTCCAAAACCAATGTTTAGAGTTGAACAAGGCAACAAAGGGCAATAAGAAAGTAAAATGGAAATATAACTAAAGATGCGCTTTCAACTCTTAAAAACTGTGTGACAGATTTATCAGCACTATGTGCCTCGTCTCAAGAAAGAAGTGGAATTATATGAACATTACATATTTGCAGGTTTCTTTCGTATGTTTTAATATGCAAAGTTGTGAGAGTCTGGAGAAAACCTATTAGCTACGCTGTATAAACTCTTTTATAAGGCAGAGTTTTATGTGATTCCTGGATTCTTAACATAGGATCCAAACAAGCAACAGCAAAAACCTGGGCCAAATGACCCTTTTCATCTGTTTTTTTTTGCATTACTCTTACACAGAAAGGTGTTTCTACTTAATTCAGTCACGTAGCTTTAAATACTGTATATACTGTATATATATTTATAGAGGTGGTTTGGGATCTTTTAGGTGAGTCTGATGCTCTGCAAATGTGGCACAAAGTCCACGACATTTTGAGGGGTAAACAAAACCCCAGCAATAGGACTCACAGTTATGCTCCCATAACTTTATTGGTTTTCCAGATGCCACAGGTGCTGTTAAGTTTTCACGCAGTACTTTGTCTGTTCTCTGGCTGACAGCACAGCTCCAATTTGTCCTGTTCCATCCTGCAGCCAGAAATTAAATCATCTTCATGGTAACCAGATTTTGAAGAGCTGTGTGCACTACAGGTTTTGCCTCAGTCATATAAGTACTGTAGTACAGCGGCAAGTGTACTTTACCGTCGATGGACAAGTGAAAAAATAATTGGGAAGTCTAAAAACATGCATCAACAAAAAAGGTAACTGGAAACAAACCAAAGACAACTCTCTTAGGAGGTTTTGCTGCTTACATAGATAAAATGGACATTATTAAAAAATAATCAACATCTGTGATGAAAGATTAACATATTCTTCAGTACTGCTTAAAGTTGGCAGTACTCTTCTCATGGTTCTTTGGATGAGAAATAATTTTGGAGTGAACTTTAATCGATTTATATAACATCTCTGTAATTCATTAATACATTTACACAAGAAACATCAAACTTAAGTTTCTGGTGATTTTGCCCCACATTTCCCAAAACGTAGAGAGTAAAGCTACAGTGTGTAGCGGCGAGGCTTATTAATAAGGCAGAATTAAGTGTTTCTGAGCCTTCCCAAATGAGGCTCCATTTCTCTGTTCATCTCTGTGGTGCAGCCACAGAGAAACCATTCATGCAAGATGTTTTCTTTTGATAAGGACAGCTCCCAAAGGGGGATGCACTTAGCTAAGCCTGGCTATCATGATCAATGGTCATCCATTGGCGCCTATCTGTCTAGGGAGTGCCAGTTGGACATCTGGACTGCATTACTAGGTGTCAGGACTAAGTGACTCATATCTCACCTTGATCAACCAATCAGGGACTGGTAGGGCCGAGTAACCCACGTGGGACTCTGATGCCCATGGAACTTTCAGCCAATCAATGAGCTGAAGTTCCTCCAGGTAAAAACAGGCAACACAGAGAGCCTGAGAGATTCAGATTCAGATTCAGATTCAGATTCAACAAGATTCTGTGAAAATTCCAGGGCAGGACGGCCCAGGAGCAGAAGGCTCCCAAGGGCAGGACATTCTCGCAGCACGCCTCCTGACCATCCTGAGACTCAGCCCGGACAACCACGGAACGGCCAGTGTGTCCGAGTGCCAGAACTTTCCTTTGTTCTAAGAGTCTAGAGTTGAGGTTGCCAGAGAGTAACCAGCAGCAGGCCTCGTGAACAGGTCGGAACTGTGGACAGCTGAATTACTATTCAGACCTAGCTCTTCATCAGGAACGAACCGGTCCTCTTCCTGACTTGCTGGGACCCACAGTCATCTTTTCTCCTGTGCACAAACTTTGCTAGTTAAAGCCAACAATGAGCATCAGCAGCGCACCGTCGCAAGCCGCACAGCACAGCCTGGCACGGAGCCAGAGAGCGCGGATTGGACAGCAACAGCCTGCAACTGTTTCTTTGAGTCCGCAGGAGATCTGAATCCCCAGAGATTGGATGAGTATTCAACTTCAATGCATTACAGCTCGAGAATTCAATTGTTATCCAAACCAGTTGATATCAATTTAATTCCTAAGAGTTATGTACTTGTTTGAGTATCTAATGTAGAAGTTATTACCAAGTTCATTTATGAAACGGTCTTAATGAATGATATACTGAACGTATGTCCTCTTGATATGTATAACTCTTTGTAACTGACCGAATATACCTTTTGTATTCTGATAACCCTCTCGATAAGATCTGTTAGGTTTATATACATATTCTATGTATTAATAAATGTATCCTCGTGTATTAGTACCTGTGTGTGTGCGTTGTTTGAGTTATATCGCATGGTTGGATTCTAAAGCCACCAAAAGAATCAACTTTGTGATTTACTGCTACAATTAATAATTGTCTCAGTAAATGCCCAAACCCTACAGAACTGGTGCCTTCAGAGAGCCACTATGATTACATATTTGGCGTCCCTGAACCGGTTTTCCCTACAAGTGCTACAATTCAAAGTAATAAAGGTGTTATAGATAAAATACATATAGTATCCTGAATGCATGGTACATTTGAGTGCACATCAATTCTGAGCCAATGGTAAACAATATTCCTATATTTTCAAAAGCAGCAGTTACTCAAAAAAGTTTTAATAACTACAATGCATAAATAAACTGAAAAAGGAAAGATAAAAGCTGGCAGTGTGAATTGCAGCATGCTTTGTCCCATGTACAATAAATTGTCATTACATTACTGTATTACAATTAGAACACTATTTTTTAATAATCTTTTACAATAACGTAAATTACAGGGAACAAAATATAAGGACTGTTTCACAAGATCGCTATTATGAATGAAGACATGAACTCTGCCATAATTCATACTTTCATATAAGAATTACTAAATTAATTTTGATTTTTACAGAAAAGGCTACAAATTGCATATACTATTGTCATAATTAATTTGGTAAATCAAAGTCCCTAAGGTCCCTAAGGTTTTGTTGAGGTACACTCAAGAAAACACATTCAACAAAATTTGGTGTGTAGGACCCAGCGAAAAAAAAAGTCTGTAGGAGACAGACTCATTCTCTGCAAAAAAAAAGGGCAAATTCTAGTAATGTTTCATTCACATCACTGAAGACAGTTAAGATGCACTTTTTCTGAGTATCAGTCTTTGATGAATACCTAAAAAGTAAAGGTTTTTTACAACCTTTGCAAGTTTGGCTTCCTTCTTCTCAGTGGAGTCTTCTGTTGATCGATTTTGTGAAGTCAAGCATTGCCTTGAGTTAATTTTACAATTTTTTTATATCAAGCACCTTTACCAAGACTTTTATTACACACACAATATTCTCAGAACTATACAGACTGCAGCAATGTTCTTTAGTGAGAAGCCTGTGAAAGAAGTAGCTGTGATATAACCTAAAATACATGGTATGTGTTGGGTTTCTTCCATGTATTTGCAGCTTTATCACCTTCTAGCAAATGTCAGAAACTAAGGGGTTAGGCCTAGCCAATAAATACTGGTATGGTAACCCTGAAGCATTCATGGGCAACCAGTATTATCTGCGGTCCAGCTGGAGGCTCTTTTCCCTCTGGTCCAGATTTATTAAGTCATTACATGATTTACAATTAGTGTTTAATAAAACAAATTGTTATACCCTCTATTCTGTTGCCCACTTTTGCACAGGAAATAAAAAAACATCTTCATGAAAACAAAATTTCTGCATAACATCAGCTTACATTATGAAGAATGAACAGCAGACATGATATACTTGTACAAACGTCTGCTACAGACCTTTGCAGGGAAATACATGCTGGAGAAAGACTGAACAACAATGCTCTGAAAGCAGGCAGCACAATGCCAGGTGGAAATGGTACCTGCTGAAGATGTCACTGGAGATTTTCTCCAGGTACAGAAGGGCGTCAGCAATCTGGTGAATGGCCTCCTCCCGTCGCAGGTCTGGCTGGATCAAGGGCACGGAGTACACCTGCCCTTCCAGGAAGTGCTTCTGGGTCATCCTGGAGGGTAAATGGCAGATGAAACATCAGTGAGACTCATAAGAAGACCAGCAGCTTGATGCTGGCAGTACATACATTAAAGGTTTACTGTACTGTATAGAAAAAAATCTGAAAAACACAGTCCAAAAGAGTATACTGTACTGCAGCACTTTCACACAAAAGAACATATAAAATCAATTGAAAATAAAACATATATTGAGGATTATACACTAAGTAGTATGAGCTCTCAAGTCAGCAACTTTTACAGTTTTTTTAACAAAAGGTTTTCCCTCAAGTAACATTACAGCATCTTGTGATATAAGAATGCAATTATAGGCACATCAAGTTAATTAAAGTAATAAAGTGACCAAGGACACAGGCTGAGAATACTGTTCTCCATCTGCAGAGACTGAGTCATCAAATCTAAAAGACACCAAATACTCTATTTGTTGCTTTTGCACAATACCGACAGCTGATTCAATGCTCAACTAGAACTAGTCAAAGACAGTGCGTCATACACTCTACTACATCATCATTTTTGAAGCCATAAAAAATAGAACTTTCTTTTAAATACTGATGGCTGTGACATTGCTAGATACCTTCTGTTCCACAGACAAGGCATCACAAATAAGCAAAGACACTAATGTACCAGGGACAGAAGCAATTTCAGTGTCAACTAAGTGCTTACAAACCTTTGAAAGTAAAATATTACTGTGATTCCTGCTTAGTGAACTAACCCTTTAATGACTGAGCACAAGTATCAATATTATGCTTACATCACTGCAGTTTAAGAAGATAATTCAGTAAAATTAAATTTATATGGTGAACATTAAGTGGTTTATTAGCCTAATTTCCACATTGTCTAATTCACCTATTTCACAAACCATTTACTTCCATTTTCTACATGAGAAGAAACTACAAATTGGAAAAAAATATCTATGCAAATTACGCCTTATAATTTTATAGTAGTTAATTTTACTGACTTGTTTATATAAGCTACCGTGGTGCTAGAAAGTTTGTGATGCCTTTAGAATTTTCAGAATTTCTGCATATATTTGACCTAAAATGTGATCAGATCTTCATCTAAGTCATAAAAATGGATAAAGAGAACCCAATAAAACAAATAAAACACAAAATGGTGTACTTTTTCATTCATTTATTGATCAAAATGATCCAACATTAAATATCTTTGTCGGAAAAAGTATGTGAACCTCTAGGATTATCAGTTCAGTTAAAGGGATAATTAGAGTCAGGAGTGTCAATCAATGGGATGACAATCAGGTGTGAGTTTGGGTGGCCCTGCCCTGTTTAAAAACATAAACCTGAGTCTTCACCACCAAAGTCTGGTCTTCACCACACAGGTTTGTGAATGCATGCCATGCCTCGATCAAAGGAGATTTCTGAGGACCTCAGAAAAAGAGTTGTCGATGCTTTGCTTATCAGGTTGGAAATGATTACAAAATGATTTCTAAAGGCTTTGGGCTTCACCAATCCACTGTCAGGCAGAGAGTGTACAAATGGAGAAAATTCAGCACCACTGTTACTCTCCCCAGGAGTGGTTATCCAACAAAAATCATTCCAAGAGCAAGGCATATAATATTCTGGCAGATCACAGAGAACCTCAGGGTATACTCTGCAGGCCTCTCTTACACTGGCTAATGTCAGTGTTCATGAATCCACAATCAGGCAAACACTGAACAAGAATAGTGTTCATGGGAGGATAGCAAGGAGAAAGCCACTGCTCTCCAAGAAAAACATTGATGCCCGTTTAAAATTTGCTAAAGACCACCTGGATCAGCCAGAAGACTACTGGAAGAATGTTCTGTGGATGGATGAGTCAAAAATTGAACTTTTTGGCTTAAATGATAAGAGTTATGTTTGGCGAAAACCAAACACTGCATTTCAACATAAGAACCCCATCCCAACCGTGAAACACGGTGGTGGCAGTGGTTTGGGGCTGTTTTGCTGCCATCATTGACGGAACTATGAATTCTGGTACCAGATAATTCTACAGGAGAATTTCGGGGTATCCATCTGTGAACTGAAGCTCAACAGAAGGTGGGTCAACAGCAAGACAACGACCCTAAACACACAAGTCAGTCTACCAAAGAATGGTTGAAGCAGAAGAAATTCCGCGTTTTGGAATGGCCGAGTCAAAGTCCAGACCTTAATCCAATTGAAATGTTGTGGCAGGACCTGAAGCAGGGAGTTCATGCAAGAAAGCCCACCAGCATCACCGAGTTGAAGCAGTTCTGTAAGGAGGAATGGGCCAAGAGTCCTCCAAGCCGATGTGCGGGACTGATCAACAGTTACTGTAAATGATCAGTTACTTTAAATGTTTGGTTGAAGTCATTGCTGCTCAAGGGGGTCACACAAGTTACTGAAAGCATAGGTTCACATACTTTTTCTGACAAAGACATTTAATGTTGGATCATTTTGATCAATAAATTAATGTAAAAGTATATACTTTTGTGTGTTATTTGTTTTATTGGGTTCTCTTTATCTATTTTTATGAGTTAAATGAAGATCTGATCACATTTTAGGTCACATTTATGCAGAAATTCAGAAAATTCTAGGGTTTACAAACTTTCTAGCACCTTGTGACATGTACAGAAAGTACATGTCACAAATATACAAGATATGTATACTAAATTTACTAAATAAGAAGATCAATTTTAGTAAAAAATCCAATTTGAAAATGTTATTTCATTCTGTAAACATAAACCTTCTGTAGTGCAAGACACAAATTGCATCTCTGTCTTTTGTAAAAAGAAATATCAAAAGAATTTCAAGATATGAACAGATCCACACATGTACACTCAAAAACTGCATCAAGACACAATCCCAGGTGACAAGTAAAAACAGCCTAGTATAAAATCCAAATGAGCTACAGTGAAGCTATGGGATAACTCACAGCTAACAACATCCACAACAAGCCATTGCCTTTAAAAAATTCTCTTCACGCCACAAGAACTGAAGATGACATTTCTTTAGAACAAATACAATAAGACCTTCCAACACAGTTTAATACAATTTGTCCTTGTTCCCTCTATAAGAAACACTTATATACTTCTGTATTTTAAAAAGGCTCCGTGTTTATTGAACAAATACATCTTGACAAACTGTAAAACTGTGCAGCTCCACACATTGAATTCCAATCTCTTGTCATCCTTAAAAAACAATGCTTCTACAGATTAATTGTATCCAGACAGTGGAAAGATACAGGCAAGATATAAGAAAGATACTCTGAACTTTATGTCCCAAATCTCAGGTTATACAGTGAAATACTAATGCTTTCTATATTCAGCTTAGTAGGCTGCAATTATAAAGTCAAAACAAAGCTATTGTAAGTATCAGACATTACATATACTTCCCCGACAACATCAGGGAAATAAATGAGAAAATGTGTCTTATAAAGTAATGTACTGTTTTACATAATAACTATATGTTTACATAGATCATAGTTACACAGATCACTGTAACTGATGATGGTTTTAATAATATCTAGCCACAACTCTGGTTCAAATAAAAAAGAATCCCTTCCACATGTAACTTGTAACGGCAAATGATTACTTGTAAACTTTCTGCAACACTGAGAATAAACTAAATTAAAAAAAATGTAACTGTTTCCAATCATAGTCTCTCTTTGCATTTTAACTCAGGATATACCCACCTAAAGTAGCTGCCTTGAAAGAGTTAATCTGCAAGGTGCAAAAACTTCTTATTAATTCCAGTGAGCAGTGGACTGTAATTGCTATTGACATGAAAGCCAGAGCTGTGGGTTCACAACAACTAAACTATTCAAGCTTTCACACACCTCAATGCTATAACCTTCAAATGAGACAGTTTTGTTTTTCATCAGGCACAGTGTTGTGTTCTTAACAGTGCTCTCGCTCCATTTTTGTTTTTTTCAAACTTATACTCAATACTAAAGTCAAACAGGTGCATCAGTGTTTACATGAAGTTGAATACATACAAACATGAAGACATGCATTTGAATGTTTAGTATAAATTCAAAAGGATGTACCTACGGTATGTGAAAACTGAAGAGCTTCGAAAGAACTCCCAGGCTTAATTCTATGATGTGCAAAAGGTCTGTCGTAGCCCAATTATTGCAAGAAGCAAGTGGCTCTATTGGTGTTTTAAGGCCAGTATGGATTATGACTGTGTCTTGTAATGACCTTTGTGGTCTGAAATACCTTCTTCCTTCACTTGGCTAACCTTGCCAAATTTGATCTCTTCATGTAGCTTTTAACATCCCAATAGGCCTGCCTGGTAATAAACTGCAAGTAACACAAGACATGTGTGAGGCAGTACATGTCCACCTAAAAGAAAAACAACAGTGTACAAAACATCTATGTTATTAAAGGGCTTCTAAAAAAATTAACAAAATAAAAGAATATAGAACAGAGACTAGAAGTACCAAACCTATTAATATAATAATGTAATCAGTGTTTTGTTTCAGAATTGCATTTTGTTTCAGTTACAACATGTTTTAAGATGAGTTTATATTGCAACTGAAACATTTTCATTTTACTTTTAGCATATTCATTTCATACTTTTCAGTGACGGGCTGTGGAATGAGGTGGATGCTACTCGAAGGATTCTCAATTTGTGAATTATTTCAACTGCCATAAATCAATGATATTCCTGATAATTAAAAATAAATAAAAATGTTCACTTCTTCCTTGTGAAACCATTCACTTAAGACAGAAAAAACAATTTTCTAATATAGAACTTTCATTCAGCATGGAAAGTGGTCTTATTACTAGCAAATAATTTCTTATATACACTGATGTGGACAGGCTAAATAGTTACAACAAATTTGATTCAAATATTTAAACAACAGTATTCTATTTGATGAATACTTGAAAATATGTGAATACCTCTTTGTATTTTCTCTGCATGTTTAGCAGTTGCTCTTTTTCTCCTGTTGCCAATGACAGGTTGGCAACAAAAACTCTGGATACAAAATGACACTAAAGAAAAGCAGAAATCCACATTTTTCAATTAGCATCTTA